TTAGGATTCAGGCTTTGGGGTTCAGGGTGTAGGAGTTGGGTACAAGGTTCGAGATGTCTTGACGTGCCGATGCCCGAGGTCGGTTTCTTTGGCCTCTACCTGGAGCCGCGCTTGCTGATGTCAAAGCTCCTTGGCAACTTCTCCTTCCAAGCAGCAACCACGAACAATGAGCGACAAAACCGGAGAGGGATGCCCCTAAACCCTAGACCCTAAACTCCAAGCCCGATTTTAGTGCAAGCCGACTGGCTGAGACTACTCATGCGGAGAAAGTCCCACTGCACGTGAAAAAAACCCAAAGCCCGAATTCTTGCCTCTCCGAGGGAGTGCCATGAAGTTGAGAAGATCCGGAACATGGGCCTTGATGCCGTGCATTTGTACAATCTGGTCCTCAGCTTCTATTGCCCGCGTCTCAGAGCTTTTCAAAAAAAAGAGCTGCAAGGCTTCAGGATGCTATTGTGGCCAGTTTTGTCAGAGGAGGTAGGGCTTAAGAGGTCACACGATCCGGACGTCCGTCATCCTTGAAACTATGGCGCCAATGGTCTTCGGCGCTGGAGGAGCCATGCCATCGACTGCACCGCCGGCTAAACAGCTTAGGTTTACCGGATCCTTATGGTATACGACTCATAGAGTCCTGTTTTCAAGTCCCTACAGACCCTTCGCCAAGACGCAGCCCTCCCACGCAACCCCCCCTGCTAAGGCTGAAGATGAAGCGATAGGACGCTTCCTTTCATATGATCCAGACTCCCACGCCACTTAAGGTAAGCATAAAAAACTGATTAATTGCTAGTACCAATGCTTCTGGTTCCTGTTGTACCTACCCTACAACGTACCCGAAACTTTATTCCAATGGTTAAAGCCCGCCTAAACCCAAACCCTAAACCCTAAACCCTATATTACCTAAACCCTAAACCCTAAACCCTGTATTACCTATTACCAAAAAATCTCCCCCCGTCTCTGAGCTCTCCAGGAGCACTGGCAGCTCTACGGCTGAGCTACGGGCAAGCTTATTTCAAAGACTGGACGCCCGTCTTCGAGTGGGTGGTTGTCAAAATTATGGTCCCTTTTTGGGTCCTTATTATAATACGGCACCTATTATGTAGGGTACCGTAAAAGGGACTCTAATTTTGACAACTACCCGAGTGCCTTCCGGGTGATATAGGGGGGTGTTAGGAATGAGAGTAGGGGTTTGGGCTCCGAGAACAAGTTATACTGATGCCAAGGAAGCCCGAGGAATACGTGATATAGGTAATTCGTCAGGCTTCTAGATGAAGGTTCTTTCTAGAAGAGCTGGAAGCGCTTAGGCTTCTCGCTTCAAGGTATGCTGGGAGGGTGGGCAAGGGTGGATGAGGCGGCGAGGTGTCTTTGAAAGAATGCGCTTGCCTCAAGTCGTCGGGAGTGAAGCCAAAGTAATTTTGCAGGAGGTTTCTAGACCCTGTCCCCTCGACCTCAAGCCCCTAACCCTCAATCCTCAAAACCCCAAACCCTAATCCCTAAAACCCTGAAGCCCTAAACCCCAAACCCTAACCCTAAAACTCTAAAACCCTCATGCAATCCCTAAACCCCAAACCCGAATCCCTAAAACCCTGAAGCCCTAAACCCTTACCCCAAGCTCCAGTCCTGGCCTTGGAAGCCGCCGAGGACAGACGAGGAGTCTATGGCAGAGCTGAAGAAGCTCTATTCCCAGCGATCGGCCTCTTGTCCTAAGAAATACCGAGGGCCGGACAAAGATTAGCAGGAGAAGCCCCTTCGAGCCTCTCTCTCTCATTATATTCTACATGGTCTTTATGCTATAATTTTACCCCAAAGCTAGAACCCTAAACCCTAAAATTACCCCAAAGTTAGAACCCTAAGCCCTAAACCTTAAACCCTAAAGTTACCCCAAAGACAGTGTCCCAAATCCTAAGTCCCTACTACAAACAGCTGGTGCCCTGCTGGGATCATCTCAGGCTGGAGGCCTCTTCGTGCTAAGGCCCGTGGGTTTTGCAGCCAGCACGGTTTAGGGTTTAGGGTTTAGGGTTTAGGGTTTAGGGTTTCGAACATAAGGGGGTGGTTGTCAAAAGTAGGGTCCCTTTTTGGGTCCTTATTATAATACGGCACCTATTATCTAGGGTACCCCCAAAGGGACCATAATTTTGACAACCACCCAAGGGCCTTAATAAGTGGAATAGGGTTTTCGGGTATATTATACTATAGCTGTAATCAGGAATCCCCAAACCCTATTCTAATTGTAAAGGACCCTACATTACATGCCTTTAGCTGCTCTTGTTGTTATGATTGTTATACTCATTGTATCACTACATGTACCCTTATCAGTATTACTATTAAGGGTATCAATTATCATACTATCATTATTGTTACTGTTGTTATTCCTATCAACTATGACGACTGTTGTTGTAATTAGTTGTATGATGATCATTATTGATCATTATTGGTATGATGGTATTTGTTGCTATATTGTTATAAACGCTGTGTTCACGTATTGATCGGCAGCTGCCTGGAACAGGTGTTGGCGTATCCGTGTGGCTGCGCTCTTCTGCTTTCAGGTTATCGTCATGATGTGGCTTCGCTACACAGTGGATCTGGCCATGGATGTGCAGGCCCTGAGCCCTAAACCGGTTTAGGGTTTAGGGTTTAGGGTCTAGAGCTTCGCTAGACAGTGGATCTGGCCATGGATGTGCAGGCGATGACGATCTTCATGCAGCACGAGGAGATAGCTTTCTTTCTCCTCAATCTGGCGGGCGTTTTCTTGGGTTTCTTCTGGACGGCCTACGAGTTCTACATGGTCGCTAGGCTTTGTTTCCTCTTTGTGAGAATCTTTTGACGTGGCTTGGTACTAATTCCCCTCGATGCACCAGAAGCATCCGTTCTTCAGTGATGACGATAGCTCAAGTGATGAAACCAGCAGAATATGATTATGAGGATTATGCACTCATTTTCTTGATGATGATGATGATGATGATGATGCCCAGACCCCCAAAAGGATCTCAAAAATAGATCCCCTAATTAGGGACCCTAACTACTAAAGGGTACTTTATAGGAACCCCCTTAATGGGATCTTTTTCTTAGATCCTTTTGGGGGTTTGGGTGGTGATGATGATGATGCGAGGTCATCTCGTCCGGCTCAAAAATCGGGCGCGCCGAGATCTTCTTCGCAGGGCTCACGCTGCCAGTTCTGGGTCAGCACGTCACCTACCTGGCCATCATCTCTCTCTTCAGGGGAGAGGCCGGAGAGGGGAGGTTTAGGGTACTTAGGGTTTAGGGTTTAGGAGTTTAGGGGTTTAGGGGTTTAGGGTTTAGGGTTTAGGGTTTAGTTTAGGGCCCGGAGAGGGGACCTGAGATGGCATGGACCATGAACCCAAACTTCCAAGAAGAACTTAGCGATAAGCTCTACACCCTAACCCTAAGCCGAAGGACAGGGGCAGGATAATGGAGGGATGACTGGGATGACGTGAAGATCGGCACCTTGCGATCCCCGTTGCAGGTGCATCCTTTCCTCTTTGTGTCCACGCTTTCGGAGGCCATTCTGGAGTCTTCCTTCTCCTCGTACATCCAAACCTATGCTGCAAGCCTTCAGGTGGTACCGTTTTTGTGCTTCTTCGGGGACCCTAAACCCCTAAACCCCTAAAACCCTAAAGCCCTGAACCCTGAACCCTGGGGGTGGGTTCATGTCTAGTTCATCTCTTGAACTAGCATGGGGCTCTTAGCTCTGGCGGGCCGAGGCCGTCGTCTTCACCAGGGAGATGACCTGGACTCAGAAGAGCCAGCTCTACTTCTCCATCTTCATGTCCTTTGTCTCCATCGGCTATGCATTTAGCACAATCGACATGCTCAAGAACGGTCGGATGCTGGTGAAAATTCCTGGCTTCTGCAAGAACTTCGACGGCCGTTTCTTCACAGTCTTCTTCTTTCGTGTGGCCGAGATCACTTCGCGTGCCACATCACTGGCACTTTTCCAAGCCATCACGCGGCCATATGGTATGTTTGTGCTGATCGCGGCGGATGCCCTGATCATGGCCTCCCTCACGGTTTTGTTTCAATCCCAGGTGGGAAAGTACACCCCAGTTGGCAGACTAGCCTTTGTTCGCCGGGGCCTTTGTTTCAAGACTCCTCTGAGAATTCGGTGCCTTCCATGCGCCGTTCTGTTGTTGTGTAGTAGGCCGCAGCATGTTGTGCCACCGCCTTTTTTGGAGCTAAACTGCAGAAAATCATGTTTCTAAAAATCAAGTCGAATTCCAGTGGGTTGCATTGCACACATATCGTCATGTGATTTGTGCAGTGTGCTACTTGGTATCTTGCGGTGTGGGTGAGCAGGCTACGGTACTGTCCGCCTCTATCTTGCATTAGGTCGCACGATGCTCTGCCATGAAGCCCTCAGCGAAAACGTCCTAAAGCTTTGAAGTGCTAGAGCCACAAAGCCCTGAAGCCCTCACTCCTGAACTCTACAAATCCTGAAGGCCCTGAAACCCTGAAGCTCTAAAGCTACAGTAGGGTTTGGGGGGTTCCTTATTTTTAATACAGTATAATATACCCCCAATTATTAAGGCCGAAGCTCTAACTCTAACCTTCAAGCCCAGAACCGAGAAGCCTCAAACATAAAGCCTAAATCCCAGATGATGCCTCATGAACCCCGAAGCCTTAACCATAAACCCAAAGCCCTAAGCCCGCAACCTCAAACACCCAAGAAAACCTGCCTTCAGGACCTAAGCCGAAACTCATTGGGCGAGGGACCCCTAAACCCTACACCCTAAACCTTAAACCCTAAACCCTGAACCCTAAACCCTAAACCCCTAAACCCCTAAACCCCTAAACCCCTAAACCCTAAACCCTGTAGAAGGGATCGAAGCACAAGGCCAGAACTTCTTCTACGTGCTCCCCTCGGTCCTCTGCTGTCGAATGGCGCAGCTGGGCCAGCACTTCCGGGTTTCGGGTTTGGGGTCTAAGGGAATAAGGGTTTAAGGGTTTAAGGGTTTTAGGGTTTTATGGTTTAGGGTTTAAGGTTTAGAGTTTAGGGGTTTAAGGGTTTTGGGTTTTGGGTTTTGAACTCTTCTACGTATGTTCTCGTACTGCTGGTATTTGGGTCTTTAGTACCACATGCGATGCAGACTTCGATATAACATGAAACACAGTGTATGTTGCCGCGCACACACACGCAGCAATACATATATATCTATCTATCTACCTATCTATCTATATGGATGTACATATATATATATATATATATATGATATGGCATAGTTCATGTTACGTACGAAAATGTACTACAGGGTTCCGAAAGAAGCTGCACAGGGTACAAGGTTTCGCGCTGGGCTTCGCCTTCTGCCCCCCGTCCAATATAGGGGCCTTAATAATAGTTAGAAAAGGGTTTAAAATCCTTTTCTAACATATTATAATACACTTATAGTTAGGGACCCCCCACCCCCCAAAGAAAAAAACTACGGTTGATGTTGCAAATTCTGCATTACCCATGATGAGGAAGATACCAGAATTCCCATAGTTTAGGTTTAGGGTCCTTAAGGCAATGCAGGATCTTAAGCATCAGCAGTCGTGTTGGTATTTAGGGGCCCTGGAATGAAAGCCAAGGGCTCCAGGTCCCCGCTTTGGAGTTTAGGGTTGAGGGTTTTGGGGTGTAGGGTTTTGGGGTTGCGGGCTTAGGGTTTTAGGGGGTTTTGGGGGTTTTGGGGGTTTTGAGGGTTTCGGAATTTAGCGTTTGGGTTTTGGCGCCACCGAAGGCCAATGTTGGAGCAGGACACCGTTCTGACTATTCCGCCATGGGCGTACTATGCCGTGAGGCAGGTGGCACTAAAGGGCTCAAAGCTGAGAGTTTAGGGTTTCGGGTTTCGAGTTTAGGGTTTAGGTTTAGGGAGATGGTATCCTAGGTGAGGGGTGTGATTCGGACAGGTAGCTACTGGAAAGCTGCAGTCATTGTTTTGTCTCCTGACCTTGGTAGTTGCAGGCTGCTGGAGATTGCCGCGATGTTTGCTGTTTGTGGCCGATGGCTGGATTGGGATCCCGAGTCTGCGCAGGCTCTCTTTGAGGATGACGGACTTGTGATTGCTGGGTTTCTGACCAGCACTTTGGCTATGTTCTTGCTTGCCATCGTCATCAGGACCTTGGATACGGCGGGTCCATGTTTCCATTGAGAGCTTTGTGGTAGCATCTTAAGTCGCAGCATGCAGTCTGGAGCTGGAGTTCGGCACACTTTCTAGAGTTGCCTTGTGCCCCAGACCCCTGAAGCCCGTTGGTGCGAGGACAGTGCTTAGCGTCAGAACTTTGATGGACTCGCCGGTCTCTGACATCTGGAGTGGTGCTGAATTCAACAATGTTCAGCATGCACTGAAGAACCGGATCCTGAAGGATCGGTATCATGGCTGTCCAAACTCGAGGTCTCTGAGTTTACTTCAAACCGTAGGCCCTACTTGTAGAGCCTAAACCCTAGAACGCAGGACCACGACACTGACAGGGACGCCCTGGGGCTCATCATGAGGATCCTGGAGACAGATCCTGGGATGAGTAGCTCAGCCTGCCGATGGCACGCGAAGGAAGCAGGCTCCAGAACAGCAAGAAGATTCCCTAGACTACCGGTCAGATTTCCGAGTTGAAACTCGGTATCATAGGCAGAAAAGACAGAGCACAGCAGTGCTGGCCCTCTTGATTCACGAAGAAATCGTGCCAAGAAGAAGAACACGATAAGATATAACAGTATGAAGAATAACAAGCCCTAAACCCCTAAACCCTAAACCCTAAACCCTAAACCATGGCAAGTCACACAGAGATCCTTCCCGACTCGATTTTTGGCAGGTTTGGTGCAGCCCACTGCAGCCTGGGAGGCCTGCTTCCTGCGTGCCAAGGTGACGATTTGCATCGGACAGGCGGAGCTGCAATACGGTTTAGGGTTTAGGGTTTAGGGTTTGCTTCTACTTAAAGGAGCTGTGATGCAGAAGCCATGCTTCTACTTAAAGGATCATGGGACTTAGTAACTAGGGTTATAAATAAGGTAACTATACTTATAATTACTTATAACCCCAATTAAGGTACTTCTAACCCTACTTACTAAGTNNCCCCCCCCCCCCCCCCCACCCCAATTCCCTACTGTAGCTATTAAGGCCCCGGGATTAGCGCGTAGCGTTCAGGAGTTGAAGGGCATTTGAGGGTCTTGGGGGCGGGGCCTTACATTTGTTGGGTTTGTGCTCGGTGCTTTGGCATTCAGAGCTTCTGACGGTTTAGAGTTTAGGGCTAAACCCTA